AAAAAGTAGAAAAAAAAAAACCAACTTTCTTTTTTACTACTTACTTGTTTCGCCGGATCGAATGCGCAATCAAAGCTCTTGTTGTCTCTTGCTTTGCTGCTGTTTCTTCTCTGATCTCCCTGCTCTGACCCCCCAGGAGTTTCTTCTATAAATCGTGCCACAGATAAGGCCCACCCGCCGGAGGAGGAGCAGCTCGGTTGGAGTGGAGACAAAAACCCGGCATCAATGCGCAACCTGCAGCTCTAAAAACTAGTAGCGTAGTGCTCCTTAATTATCCGCCCCCCGTCTGATCGGCCGTGGTCCAGGAAAACCACTGCTGGAATTTGCTGCTGCTGCTTGCTAGACCAACTGGCCGATCCAAACTGCTGTTGGACTGGATGGAGCTCCGCCTGGACCCGCTGCCAGTACTAATAGTAATACCTCTCCTCTTGCTTCCGCTTTTAGAAGAGATCCCACACCGAATGATCACCGCTGTTCGCCATTGACGACGATAGCTTCTTCCGCACCGACTGGCTCTCCACTTCAATTCTCCTCTTTTTGAGATTCACTTGGCTCCCGCACCAATCCATGCTGCTGCTGCCGCCGCCGCCGCCCGCCTGGTAGAGGTCGATCACCGTCATCGGACTAGGTGGCGACTTGGAGCTTCCAAAGGTCTGGCCGAGTGACACCCCGGGGCACACTGGATCGATGATGAGGTCCTCGATCAGCCTGTAGCACTGGTGTAGAGTTGCCTATCAACCAGCAAGCGGGGTCAGGTTTTCCAGCCTCGTAAAAAGACAAGCTTTAGCTTTTGTACCACCAACCTGGTCCGTTGGGAGCGCCATGAGCAGCACGCGTTGATACGTCGCGGCCTTGAGGGGTACAATCTCATCCAGCGCGCAGCTAAATGCCGCAAGAGCGATCGCCGATGGCCGGAACACCAAGAACTCGGGCTCTGAGAGAGCAAAGACACGGTCATACAACACAAACGTTACGCTCAAACGTCGAAACAAAAAAGGAGAGGCGCACTCTCACCTGAGAGGGTCCCCAGAATGAGCTCAGTAATTCGTGCCAGAATCGATGCCTTGAGATGCTTGGAGATATCGAGCCTGTAGAGCAGATCATCCACGTATTCGAACGCTGTCACACCACACATGCGCCAGTCCAGCGTTTTCAGCACCACCAGCTCCATTCTTTGGATTGTTTTCGCCTCGAAGACGTGCTCCAGCCCCTCGACCTGGAAGGGGAACCTTAGATCCAAAAGAGGAGAAACGCGAAGAAAACACTTTACTTGCAAATCTGGCAGACAAGGCACGACGATCTCTTCCATCTTCGCGGCAAGAGAAATGCAGGCAATGGAGAGAAGTTGTATCGCCCAAGCCTTGAGCGACTGGAAAGAAGGAAGGAGAGAAGCGATCAACAGATGGAGCAAGAAAGGATTTTTTTTGCGATTCTACCTTTGGAAGATGCCTGGATAGATACCGATCTAAGTAGCTCGAGGCCAGGGCGGCCGTCATGGGGCTGAAAGCATAGACATTGCGAACCTGGAGCTTTCTGGAATGAGGAGAAGAAAAAAAGGTGGATTTGAATCCACATTGCTTTACCTTGAGCATCCAATTCACGGCCACGGCCCTAGCGTGCAGCACAGACGCATCGCGCTGCAGCGCAAGAAGATATCCATCGCCGAGCGTTTGGCTCCTTTCTCTCGAAACAACGCTCTGGAGAGCCGCATCGTCTCTTGGGGGGAAATCTGTGAGGGCCGCAAGATCGGCATTGTCGGGGCTTTCGTCCAAAACCTCGGCAGAGTCGCCGCTCCAGGGGCTGCCGATCATCTCCTCGGTGCAAAACAGGCCTCCGTCCTGACACTCCATGGCACTTTGCCGAGCGAGTAAAAAAGAGAGAAAAGCGACGATCCGGAGATTTCAGCTCATCGGAGGAAAAGAGAGAAGCATTCCAGAGGAAGAGCGCATGGAGAATGGAGCTTTCTCTCTCGCGACCTAGCAAGAAAGTACACAGCACCGTAGCACAGCAAGAATGCGATGGAAAAGAAGGATGAATTAGGGGCGAGAAGGAGGAAATCAGGGTCTTCTTCTCGCCCCACAAGAAGAACAAGGAAATATACCTAAAATGCCAACACACATACACATTCCAAAACCCTGGATTCAAGGCGATTGAAAAGGCGGCCTCAAATCCGCAATCTCTTACCATTTGGGGATAGACGGCCGGATTGCTTGCCACCTCATTAACGGTGACGGGCTTGAAGTCTACATCCCCACCATGATTTTGTCATGATGCTGTGTAGAAGTATACAAGATAAGACAACAAATACTTTTCACGACGGCAAATATTTTCAGTTTTGATATTCACAAGCCCGCCCGCCCACCGCGTCCAAAAAATTGCCGCGAAGTAACGACCATGGTAAAAATCTCTCCGGCATTTGCCCTAGAATACTGGGAGATTCGAACCTGAAACCGGGTAAAAGCCAAGGGAGTAAATTCGAGCTGTACGCTTGTAAGTATTTACAGGTATATAGGTCCTGTGGTAATGTGTCGGTGACTTTGGAATATGCGCGAGGGATTTTTCATGGTTTGTCACTTTCAATTTTCCCTGCAAAAGTGAGAGAAGGAAAAAAAACTAACTGCTTGATACGATTGATGGCTGGCCTGGTTAATTCTAACATTTGTTTTTTAGGGGATCTCATCGTTCGCTCTCGTCCTCGTTATTAAGGTTGTTTCAATGCACGAAAGAGTTCCATTTCAATGCGGTGGTTAACCGCTGAGAGAGGGGTAAATCATGGCTGCTTTTGGAGGATTAAAGATTAATCACGCAGCGTTTCAGTTTTGGTTTAGCCCCTAACCGCATTGAAGGGTCCGTAACCCTGGAGTTAATCCAGCATTTTGACCAGCATTTAAGATTCACCCCACGGGGTGATTATCGAATTTCACCAGCCACGCCACGCCACCCACAGTAAAAAGACCAGAGTGTTTGAACCGCGCGCCCCGCGGGAGCAAGTGTGGCGCGCGATTGCTTTCGGCGCGCAGTTTCGAGTACACAAGGGCGAGAACCGTGCGGCGCTTGATAGCGCTGTGTACAGGGTGTGCGTGTGTGCTTGTGGCGGCATTTTTTTTGAACCGTTGCTGTTGTCCATCGCGTGCAACATGTGAGCCCTAAGAGAGACTTCGTCTTCGTCGTCTCGTCGCGTTCATAATCTTCCAATCTCGCAAAAGGAAAAGAAGCATTGTCACCTTCAAGGGAAAAAAACAAATGCTGTCGGCCAAAGTTGCGCACCCCGACCTAGAAGTTTAGGGTTTTACCGATTACGTGTGGCTCTCAAAGTCAATGTTGTATATGGACAAGAGAGATAAATATTAGCAAAATTATTTCTCTAATTTAGTTTCTTTGCTATCTCTAGTTGCCCAGGAAAGCTTTAGATCTCCTACTCTAGTTTTCCTTTGGTAAGAAGCATTTTCCTTATTGCTTATGGCTAATGCTATAGCCACTGGGTATGATGTGTTAAACCGATGTTACATGAAAAAGTCCATATAAGACACACGGCATCACTTTATTGGTTCTGATATTTGAAAATGCATATTTTTGCATATGAAGTTGAATATTCTCATAGATTCTTAAAAAGAACTTGGAAGGATATTCCTTAGAATCTAATGGGTATTTATGGGTCATTATATGGGGACTATAGCTATGTTCATCGATAACCATTCATCCATCCCAGCATACCCATTTTTTATATTTGAAATTCTACAACCACAAACTTAAAATTTCTCAAATTCATTGATGTGCTTATTATATTATATTCCCTCCATAATTCAGCCTCTTCTAATTCCAATCAATAAAAACGTTTTTGCATTGTTCAAACTCAGTAAAGGCTGAAGAGCTTATAGAGAGAGAGTGATTTCAGCTGTTAATAGTACGTTATTAGATGCTCATTGTAGAGTAATGTATAAAATTCCATGGAATTCCATTCAATATAATTATTTATATATTATTATATAATATACAATATAATATAATTATTTGGGATTTCAAAATGCTTGGAACTTAGTTACTTCTGTTTTTTTACAAGAATGGGCCAAAATTTCTTGCTATTTATTGTATATAACAAAAGGACAAAATTTATCAAGATTAGAAGATAGTTGTACCATTGATAAGTTACATAATCTTTAACACAATATCACTAATGTGACTACAAATATCAAAAGTTATATGTTAGTGAATCCTTTTGGATAGTTTTCTTTTATTACCATGATGACAAGAGAATAGACCTTTATTAATTCCTTTTGTTCAAGTGTTAGTAAACTAAACTTAATATCTATACTTGGCTAGATGAGCACAAAAAAAGAATTCCTAAATATTTATTTAACCAAGTATACTTGGCTTAATTTGTTATTATTACTTTTTTTGCTTTATTTTGCATATAACTCCAATCCTTCAATATTGCTTCAATGTCCGTTATAATACCTTTGCTATCATGCCCTATATGTTGATCATATTTGGTCTCATTGGCTTAATTTTCCCATTTTACTCCTCTTCTTGATTTATTTTGAATAATCTAGTGCTATTCTATATTTAGTAAGTTTCTAGACTAACTCTTAGTACTAAAGATGGTTAAAGGTGAAAGCTTAAAGCATGCATTCCTCAACAAGGGGGGCGGGGGGGGGGGGGGGGGGGGGTTTGGAAAGGGGTTTTAAATGTATAATAGTGGGTAAGTTAAATATGGCTAATTAACTTAAAGCATAATTGAGCTCTCGCTTGTATGCTTGTCCTTAATCTGCACCCAACTTGGGTCTATGCTCAAGTCCCACACCATATTAGTTGGTGGAGTACCTATATCCTCACATTAGGCCACAATAATATTAAATTCCATTTGGCTTTGTTTTACATGCTAAGATGCTGGATGCTTTAAGAATGTTCTAAGTCACTCTGTACTCATGTTCTTTCATTCTTTGTTTAGTGGCCCAAGGCCCTGAAACTTGGGTTCCACTCTATTGTCCTTAAGACATATGGCATATGATATGTGACTTATAAAAGGTCTAAGTTCTGCTTTGTGATTATCCTATGATAAATCACTATAGGATAAAAGGGTAAAACCATATGTGTTACAAATGTTATGAGGGAAGATGGTAGTAGTGAAATTGAAGGGTTGATGAATTGATTAATGCAAACTATGAGGAAGAAGAGGTGAGTTATTTTCTTTAAACTTTTCTCGTAGTCAATACAAGCACTAAGCTATTGATGTATCTTATAGGTTTTATTACAGACACCAAATCTAAGTGATAATCAATACCATAGCTATGTATAGTATAATATCCAAAAACTTAATTAAGTTGTTAGGATTGAAAGATAAGCATAACCTAGCTTTCAAAGAGGATAAAGTTGACCTCTTTACTTGTGAAACTACAAACTAAAAAGAAATAAATAAAGAAAAACTAAAGAATATAGAGAAAAATCAAACCTTCAGAAAAATTTGTTTATGTTGACAAATCCTTAGTGGGTGACGACTAAAAAATATCCATAGCACAATCAAAATTTGACATATCTATGTGATTGATTAAACAGAATTACCTCTTGTTAAGTAAAAAGAGCCAAAAATAAACTAGAGATATCCAAATGGAAAAAAATATTGAATTTAGTGGTGTTAAAGATACTAAACTTTCACATAGTGTTTGGTATGCATTTCATTAACAAGTATTCAAAAGGATATATAGTGTTAAATAACATTGAGGTAATAAAGTTGCCCTAATATATTTTTTTAGTTGCTAAAGCACTTCTCAAAGGATTGGGATGCTAAGTTCTTAATTGTGAGAGTAACTCAAAAAGTAGCTAAGAAGGGATGTCAAACTTTTTTGGGTTCAAGTGATAGAAGCTGAATGATGGTGATTAAATTTGAATCAATGATAAAGTTGATCCTATACCAAGGGAAATTGTTAGTAAAAAATTAAGATATCTTCCCGAAAGATTTATCACCAAAGTTACCACTTAGTTATGAGGTTGATCATCAAATTAAGATTATTTTGGGTTCAAAACCATCTATGAAGGCTCCATATTAATTAAACATAAAAAAATGTCTAAATTCAAGAAGAAATTTATGAAGTTTCTTGACAAAGGTCATATATGACAAAGTAAGGTGCATTATAGAGCATTAGTTCTTTTTGTTATGAAAAAAGATAGTACCATGAAGATATATATCAATTATTAGACTCTCAACAAGATCATAGTCAAAAATAGTTATCCATACCCCATATTGAAAAATACTTAACTTTTAAAAGTTGATCAAACAAATAAATGCGACTTGATTTGTAGCTTGATATGGATGGCAAATCAAGATGTGCAAAAAACAACCTTTAAGACTTGTTGTGGATCTTATGAGTCCATGGTTATACCATTTAGGCTATGTAATACCTTGGTTATATTCAATACAATGATGGATAAAATATTTAAATATTATTTAGACACATTTATTATCCTATATATTGATGATGTTTTAGTCTTTAGTGAAATATTGGAGGACTATTTGAAACACTTGGAGATAGTGTTTTAGAAAGTAAAAGAACATATCTAAAGAAAGTAAAATAACAGTGAAATCCTAGAAAGTCCTGACAATTATTTGTTTCTTTCTTAGTTTGGCAAGATACTATTGCAAGTTTATTTGTAAATTTGCAATTGTTACTTTTCTATTGATTGAGTTTTTGAAGGGTAGTATACCATTTTATTGGATACTAGTATTAATATATTTTTGTATGATTGAGGGAGATTTTGACTATAGTTCTTATTTTGAAGATTCCAGATCTTGATAAACCCTTTAAAGTGCATTGTGACATATCTGTTATGCTATAGGTGTTATGTTGCAACAAGATTGCAACAATGTGATTGATGTTATGCTAAGGCAACATGGTTGTTCTATTGCATTTTATTCCAAGAAATTAGATGAGACTCAATGAAAAATGGCTTACGTATGAAAAAGATATATTCATTATAATTTTGGCATTAGAACATTGAAGACACTATTTAGGTGGACATATAAAGGTTTATATAGATAATAACACATTGAGTTACTTTGCAATATAACCAAAGTTTATGTTAAAGCAAGTTTGTTGGCAAGAGAAGTTTAT